GCTAACATGTAGAGAAGAGGGGAAAGGGAATGTCATTCACAAATAGTATATATAATAAAGGCTAAGTACTTATCCTTGGGCACACCTGTGTTAAGTTCAAAGATAGTTGAGATACTATTGTTAATTTTAACTTGTGCCGTTTGGCTCGACAGGAAACTTGAAATGCATCAACAGATAAGTATAGGGACATTATAACCTGACATAAATTATAGGTTGTACAGTGCTATTAGATAAATTAGAATGTTTCAGAGAAATTTTTAATGGTGATATTGCTCATGCCATTTTCACCAGAGGTTGTGTACTTGAGTGTCTTAATGGTTAATTTGGTTTCTGTGGGTGAGATTGGGCACGTGTTGTAGTTGTTTCATCGGGGCCATTTGAAGTAGTATTGGGGAAATAATTATATGTTCTTTATGTAGTTCTGCGTGTTCATTTACGTGGTTGAAATATTGATCATCAAATATTGCTTTGTGAGTTGTGCTAAATGTATTCTCATAAAACGTAGCAAGAAAATAGATTTGTCTTTGTCAGTGTATGCAAGTGCCAACAAGAGATCATCCTATATATACCATAACCCACCGAAAAGAAGACCATCAGAAACTTGATGAATGGACAGTTTTGTGTGCTGTTTTATTTGTGTAGTATGATTTTCAAGGGGCTTCCCAATCCAGGAAGTGGCTAACGTCGTAAGCCATATTTTCGGTGTTTTGAATTAAATGTTTGCTAGAGGGCCCATTATGTTAGTATCTGGAATGTTCGTGAAACTTATGAATCTAAAAGGTTTATGTGATATGCAGAATCAAGAGTGAGATATAAATGCAAGTAATTAGGGATGACTCAGTTCAGTGTCAATCAGTTATTCATTGTTAGAAGTAAGAGTTATTGAGTCTGTTCTGTTATACAGGTACTCAGAAAGTTAAATTTTTTTTGTTGTACACCTAAGCAAAGTAGTAGGTTAGGATTTCATTAGTTTCAGTGTTTCTGTGAAAAGTTTTATTGATGAAATTAGGCCTGTAAGTGAACATAGCGGTAGCAAATATTTACTGAAGAAATATATTAATTCATTATCATTATATGGAGTGAGCTTTGACATTATTTTTTACCGAAGATCAACTACCCCTTTTAGAAGGGCTTAATCTAATAGACTTCACCAAAATTTAGAATAAATAAAATGAAACTCTCAAACAAAGAATTCCTGTTCCATTAAGAAGGGTCTATTTGCAAGCTGGAGTCCTCTAGCATCAATGTAGTAAATGTAGAAACTTCAGAGATGGGGATCTCATCAGATTTAGCAGTGGTGGAGCCCTCTACCACTACCCCTTCAATGGTAGAGTACTTCACCATTGCTAAGTCTACTTGGTCCCTGGCGACCTCTGGATCAACCAACTAACACGTGCATAAGCTATTCCATGTCAGATGCATCAACAAGCAATGCATCTTCATCCATGAGCTCAGTCATCGCAAATTTCAGACTAGTACCAAAGTCCTGGGTTCAGCAACATTATTGGTTCCTTCATTAAAGATAAAATCCTGAGCATCTTGGAGGAATTCGGAAATCTCATACAATAATGAATCCATGATGCAGCAAGAGAAAAAGGCTTCAGGAACATTAGCACTGAAAAACAGTAGGAGAATCATTGGTCAGTTGAGAGAGAGACTGACCATGGATAAAACACTGAAATCCAGATTCGTATGTAAGGTTGGATGAGTTTTAATTGGCCAAAAATTCAGTCGAATGTGCAAGTTAATGGGGTTATAATATGTAGATAGGACCATGAACTATGACATCAGGCAATGACCAACAACATTTCTACAGGCGTTGCATGTACTCGTACACTATATTCCTGATAAAACATGTAGTCTCTAATTGACCAACTATTACACGAAGCTATACTGCCCTATGTTGTCCCTGATGTACAACTGTAACATACTACTTATTCTAACATGGCCTCATTTTTTATTCCTGGTTGTTACACAGACAATTCCAGTAGGAAAAAGGCTGCAAAGGGTACTACAAACTCTAGCTGACTCAAGTTAAGTGACACAAAATATTATCTTTGATCATTAGCGTTCACCAATATTTCTATTGTCTTCTCTTAGATACTTATTTTCATTTATTAGTTTTGTACTAGTTTTTGGAGTTACTTAAAAGTTTTCATCATGTGGGTGTCACTTTCCATTTTCCAATAGTGCACTTACAATCTACATTTTCATGTTTTAATACTGTATGTTTTAACGGAAAAAAATGTTAAGAAAATATTTGGTTATACTGTGTACTTATTATACATATTTTAACCTACATGTTTGAAAATATTCTACCACAGTAAAATAAAATGCTGGGTACATAAAGTATATATTTGTCATGATATCTAAACTACTGTCCGTGAATTTCGTTTACTAGTGATAATTTCATCCACTCATGAATATTTCAATTTGAGTCAATTGAAATACATTTTGCTCTGATCTTTATAAGAAATACCAAATAAAACTGTGTTGTAA